TTTCCGCGTGATTTTTTGAGTTGAAATTTCAAAGGATAATCGTTATTTGCGGTCCCTGACTTATACACTAATATGGAAACGGTTTTTAGAAAAAAAAATATTGAATCACTTATATCTAGTTTGAAAAGGTTAAACCGCTTATATGTGTATAAAAATGGATTAAATCGCTTATATATGTATATGATATGAAAATGGGTTGAATCGCTTATATATAGAAATTTTGCAATATTTTAATTATTAAAGTGTATTTGAAAGAAAACGCATTAGAAAAATGCAACAGAGTCTAAATCTTATATTTAGAGGTTTAAATCTTATATTTAGAAACTAAGTTGTATGAAAATTTAAGATTTTAATTTTAATTTTGAATATTTCGAAAAGAAAATTCACATTTTCAAATTCCGAATTCACAAAAATTTTTTGTTAAAGTGCACTGTGTGCATACTAATATAAGAATAGATATATGATGATAATATATATGAGCAAAATATATGTAAGTATACAAACTTAATCTACGCTGCCTTACTCCTTGTATGACTGTACCCGATATTCGCCGCTATCCCACGCCGCTGTCTCAAAATATTGAATTGCTGTGTTGCAGACTTGTTGTAAAATTCATTCTCCCCCCCCTGCAGTCCCGTAAAATTAATTTGTTAAAATTTGATATAGTTTAAGTAGCGTTGTTGGTATGCCGCTATACTGCGACCTCCCGCGCTGCAGTCTCCTAATACTCGAAATATAGCGTGAGTATGCCGCTATGCGAACGGTCGCGTGGGGTACTGCTTAAGTTTTTTGTGGTAGGCCTAAACGCGACCGCCGCATGCCCAGTTACAGTGACACATACTGGGCATGAATCACGTATGACGACAATCGTCTGAACGATATCGTGTCGAGATTGTCTTGCTTCATAAAAATCAAAAATTGTTCGATCGTTTGTGCGATATCGTCAACTCGATTCCAGTTTTGCTTCACGTAACAGTAACAGTAACACGTAACAGCAACACAAATGCATAAACCAGTGTTTTGGCAACATCGTTTTGTCAGTATCGTTTGAATAGGGTTGCCAGATTTTTTGGCGCTAAATCAGTACATTAGACTTTTTCATGCTATAAAAATCAGTACTTTTCAGTACACTTTTATTCCAAGAAGATTTATGAAACTAAGTAGCAAATAATACTTTGAAACGCCAGAGTACTTTTTTTTAATAATATCTTGGTATGGGTAAGGCTTCCTCAAGTGGGCCCCGAATTTACCAAGATTATACTATTATTACCAAGAAAAGCAAAACAAAATTTTGTAACGCAAATAATTTCATTGTATAGTTTAATGTTTTTTAAATCTTCACCCAAAAAAATTTTTTCATTCGGACACTTACTTTCAAAGAAAAATAAAAATTTCCAAAACACTGCAAAAATTTTCAATTGTTTATAAAAAAAACCATTTGGAATTTTGCAACAAAATTTACACTGTATTTTTCGACTAAAAAACTCGGCGCTGCCTGAATATATTTGAAAAATATTAATCTTGGTAAATTCGGGGCCTACTTGAGGAAGCCTTACCCGTTTATAAATAAAATGTTGTTCATAAAAAATAAAAATGGTATCCATTTTAAAATGAGTATACACATTAACATGTAGTACGAGATACCTTTATAATATTACAGGAGCCAATAAATTATTTTATATACATGACATTTTTTAATAGCAATAATGAGATCACTTCCACTTTCAGTGTTTAAATAGTCAAAAAAAAACTCAAAACATTATACATATTTTAATAGTACTTTTAATTTGAATTTCACTTTCTAAAATTTTAATTAGAAGTCGGTTTCTCTCTTTTCGCCAGGAAGTAAACTTTATATTTCAGTTAGTTCCTCTCAGGTGCTTCGTTTGAACGTGGTATGGAAAAAACAAAATTACATATTTATTCAAACTGTGGAAATAGAGGTCGCATTTAAGGACTGCATCCGTATTTCCTCATGGCTTAAATTATTTTTTCAACTGCGCAAAAACTTTGAAAGGCTAAGAATTCGCCAAAAAGAGTATCTAAATTGAATCAGTAAATTGAGAAAAACGAATTGTAAGTTGTAGGCAAAGCCATTCAATTATTCAAATTTGTTGTTTTTAAACTGAAAGTTATTTTCGAGATAACTAACAACACTCGACAAATAATGTCAGCCCTCTGGTAATATGCCCATAAAACGATTGCTCTTTTGTATTAATTTCTTGCGCATATCAAACATTACCTAAAACATGTCAACTTTAATTAAATTATTTTCTTCTTACTTTTTACAGTAAATTTTGAGAAAGTTCCAACGTTATGTAAAAAACTTAAGCAAATCGTAAAGTATTTTTTTATGTTAAATAATATTACACAAACAAAATACATGCGCAAAAATTACCGATCACCGAGTTACCGTGTACCAAGCTCGGTGGGAAGAGCTCTATTACAAATTTGATTGCTCAGAATTGAAAAATCAGTACAAATCAGTACAAATTAAAAAAAAAAGACATTAGCGTACTGATTGATGGAATGAATAAAATCAGTACGAAAGTTGAAAAATCAGTACTGTACTGATAAAATCAGTACGTCTGGCAACCGTACTGTTTGAACGACTATCGTTTCAAAGTTACGTGATTCATGCCCAGTTTTACGTTCGTATCGGGCTTCTATATACGCGCGTGTGTATATGAAGTGGCGTGGCTTGCAAAATGAGTATATAACGCGACTTTCCGTTATTTGCGCTTATATACGTTGGGTGTTGGCGTGGTTATGTATATGGCCCCTATTATGAGTTGCATTCGATTTTCGATCTTCGCTGGCTATCGAAGATCGAAAGTGAAATTCGTATTATGAGCTATGCAAGCGTGTCGAAATTTTTGTTGATCATCGAATTTTCTGTCGAA